AAAAAAAAAAAAAAAAAAAAAAGAAGAGAGTGGAGAGACTCTCGAAGCCCCTTCTAAGGTGAGCCTAGGAGGGTCAAGTTGCCTACCCCTCCTCCCCCGCGGTCATCAAAACCCCTGCTCCCCCCCCCCCCCCTTCCCTCATACCAGGTTCATAACCAGATCTTCACAAGATCCTGAATGGTCTGTCCCGCCCCTGCCTCTCTGACCTCCATCTCTGACGCCTCTCCTCTGTAATTTTAGGTCTCGGGCTACATTGGCTTCCTGGTTGCACCTGCCAGTCACGTTCCAGCCTCACGGCCTTTGCACTTTCTGTTCCCGCTACCTGGAACACTCTGTTTGGCCCACTGCCTCACTTATTTTAGGACGCCACTCAAATGTCACAGTCTCAGTGACCTCTTCCCCGGGGCCGCGTCTTCTAAAATGGCAACTGCCTCGCCGATTCCAAAGAGGACGCCCTCCCTGGTCCCCTTCCCCTAACTTTCTTCTCTGTCTGTCTGTATCTGACTTATCTTGTTTATTATCTGTCTCTCCCACTGGAAAGTCAGCTTCTTGAGGACAGGGGTCTTCCCCCACCCCCACCCCCACCCCCTCCACGACTGCATCCCTCACCACTAGGATAGGGCTACGCCGGCACATAGTAGGGGCTCAGAAACTTACTTGTATAAATGGACAACAGCAGTTCCTGTTTCCCGAGTGGCTACTGTGGGTGCCAAGTCTAATCGCAATTAGGGCTGAGGCTCCCTGAATATGCAAAACTTCCCTACAACGTAGGTGCTGTTATCAATCCCACTTTAACCGAGGGAGACACGGAGGCCCCGAAAGAAGCAACAGGCTCAAAATCACACGAAAGGGGAATGTCACAGCCAGAATTCGAATCCAGGTCAGTCTGACTCAGAAGCTTGGGCTCAAAACCATTCTCCTACTGTCCATTCCCTGGTTCTCAGGGCCCCAACCCCACCCACCTTACCTAGGGACTTGGGCCTCTCGCTGGCATAGATGCCCCGCGGTTCAGCGGGACCCAGGCGTCCATAGGAGCCAGATCCAGAGAAGCCACTGTCCCCACAGAAGGTAGAGGGTGGTGAGTCTGGACCCCCCGTGGAACTGGGGTCTTCATAGAAGCCTGGATTCCAAGGAGAAGAGGAGAGATCATCAGGGGCCTGGGCGGGGAAGCCAGGGGTGGGGGCAGGAGGAAAGATGGGGGTATCCCAGGCACGCCCTTCTTACCTGAGCTGCGCCCGCTCTCCTGTTCCAGGCCCCCAGACTCCAGGCTCAGATCTCCCAGCTGCTGGCCCAGGTCCCAGATGAGCCCAGGCAAGGCCTCCTGAGGGCATGAGGAAAGCAGAGTGGTCAGAATGCGCCCCCAACCTCTGCCAAGGAGCCCCCCACATCTTCCCAGACCATGGGTAGGGTTTCACTTTGACAACGAGGCTCTGATTTCGAAAGGGTAAAAGCACCCAAGCCCCAGGATCTCCCCCCTCAAGTTCTCTGTCCCTTCAGCCCAATAGAAGTCCTTCCGATGGTCTAACTCAAGTCCTCCGTGCTGCAGTGACATCACCGTCTCTTGGGTGTGCTAAGCTTCAGAAGGCCTGCTCCCTATCAGGTGTTCCCTCCATTTGTGCTCGTGGCCCCTTAACACCTATTAGGATGTCCCTCTTCGAGCCTCAGCTCAGGTGGTCCAGCTGGAAGGGCAATTCGCTGCTACCTAGCAGATCCCTTGGCCATGGGGTCCACCTTCTCCAGTCCTTGACCTTCTCTTCTTGGATGCTCCCATCTCCCCCCCCCACCGCCCCTTATCGGCAGCAGAAAGTCCTTCTGCAAGGCTTCCTTAAGTCCTTCCTGCTGCAGACCGATTCTTTCCCTCATATGGATACAATAGGCAGACCGCGACTCATGCTAAGTCCTTTGCTCCTTCTCTTGGGAAGAAGCACTCCCCTGCCCCCCAACACCTACTGGAAAGTCCTTCTGTGAGTGTAGCCTTGGTACTACAGCAACAAGCCCCAGCAGGTTCGCTTGCCTGGGGGACGGCATCTTCCACCTGCCCTTGCTTCATTCCTACCCAGAAGCCTCAACCCCCTCCTACCCTCTCCCCCCCCCCCCCCCCCCCGTGTCTCCCATCGCCCCTCATCCCCAGGAGAAATTTCTGTTGAGTCTATCCCGGATCCTTCTTGCTGCAGGAAATGATCATTTCTTATCAGGGATGAATGAATGAAGGTGAAAACCCTTTTAGCGGAGCGGCGGTCATTAGGGAAGGGGGTGGGGCTGAAACAACACAGATGGGGCCTCTGAGACACTAGGGCTTAACCCCATTTTGGAAAACAGATCCAGGAAGAGTCCCACATGGGTCTGGGTGAGGCCAGAGGTGGCGGCAGCCGCGGGCCGACGGTTGACCCTCAGACAAAAGCGGCTTGTCTGGACGGCGGGCGGGAGGCAGGGAGGGGGGAGGAGCTGGGAGGCCAGGCGCCCAGCCCTGCCTATTTAGGGCAGAAAGACGGGCCGGCTCCCCCGCAGACGCCCCCCCTCCCTCCCCCAGCTTCCTACTCCAGCGGTGGCTCTCCTGGGCCCCCCCCCCCCCCCCCCCCCCCCCTCACCCCTCCCTCCCCCGCCCCCAGAACAGAAGCCCCCTTCTGGGCTTGTTTATAGGAGCAAAGTCAACAAATCGGTCCACTTTGGGCTCCTGCCCTGGGCCGTGCAGAGATGCTCAGGGTGGCGTCATCTTTGAGCAGAACCCAAGAGGGCAGCCCAACTGTGTCATATCAGGGGTGGCTAGA